GCAACAGCAATAGCAGCAACAGCAGCAGCAACAGCAGTAGCAGCAACAGCAGAAGCAATAACAAAAACAGCAGCATTAACGACAGCAGCAGAAGAAGAAGAATAGGATCAACATTACTAACTCAACTGCGACATCAGTAGCAACAGAACCGTCCCGCCAGAGTGCTCAAGAGCGAATGAATTTATCGGCTACCGATAGCGATATTTGCACGCACTGCCCGACTAGTTTGTTAGCCGTGCCGTCCTAACATATCAAATAATCACAATATATATTGCTTCACGTGTTTAAAGAAATCACTCACTAACCAGATAAGGTTCCTCATCAAATACGAGTCATACAGAGAATTATACAGTCTGACTGTGGTACTCTTATTCTTTTTCACCAATTTTAGGACATTGTCTACTCTGGAAAAAAGCATAAACGTGAGAGATGTTAGTATTTTTTCATGGTACGATCAACTCGCGCCTTACGGACACCACGGATGGTACGATCCGTACGAATGGTGAGGTCCCCAGGCAGGGGATCATCGGGACTACCACAGGATGACCATAAACATTTTCAACGGCAAAAGCATTTTACACAGGGTTACCGTGAAACGTAAAGTGTGCACACGAATAATGATATGCTTGTGTTTTTATGCATATCAATGACTTTCACGAATCGTATGGAGTATTGCAGCATGCAAACTGTAGAATTCGTTTCTACTTTTGGCAACGATGGCTTTTTCGTTTTCCTGTGTGTAAACGCTCTTACAACTTGTGTGTCGCAAAGCTGTTGCAGAGAAAATTGCTCTGTGCATTCACGCCTTTAAACCACTTTACAGCCGTTCTAAATCACACGCTCCCTCTTGCGATTTTTTTCTGTCGCGACGAAGAAGGTTTTGGTGGACGTTAATCACAAGGCGTTTCCATTGATTGTCGGAAAACACAAAGCTATAAGGGCACGTGCCTATAGAATGTCATGGAAACGCCTCGTGATTGACGTCCACCAAAAGCTATTTCGTCGCGAAAGAAACAATCGTTAGAGCGGCGCGTGTGATTGAGAATGGCTGTAATCCATCTTTTACGCTTGATGTTGAAAAGTGCATTAGTTAACCATTGACCATTTTCCATACATCGGTTCACTGGTCAAACACGAAGCATTCAGTCGAGGTTGCAAGGTTCAAATTTGAATAATCCTTTGAAAGTACCTTGGCGCCTCGCTTGAGCGCTTTGTGCTTGACCAGTGAATCAATGTATGGAAAATGGTGAATCTAACCTTCTGTGATGAGCAACAGCAACAACTGCATGACATTGATCTATTATCTTAACGTCCACTGATCCAAACCGAACAAACTGCTTTGCGACCTAAAATAGTTCAATAACATACAAAAAATTATTTCCGAGATCTCGGCAAGCGGGATGAAAAAATTCTCATCGCAACTGAATGTATGCAAACGTTCGTATGCCTTTCTCTCCCCCCCCCCCTCCCCTCCCCTCCCCTCGCCAACAACCTTCCACCTTTCTCTGTTGGCCCCCACAGGCAACAACTAGAATGCACTTGTTAATTTCCCACCTAAAAAAAGGAATTTTATCGCGAGCAAATGGAGCGATTACCCTTTAGTCTCCCCTTTCTCTCCCTCGCTCTCTCTCTCTCTCTCTCTTTTCCTGCCAGCAAAAACTAGAATACACTTCGAAATTTCCCGTCTAAAAAATTGCTTTGTGATGAGAGGAAATCAGTCCGCCTGTTTCCCCGCCAAGAATAACTTTTTTTTCCACGACAAAACAATTGCGGGAAAACCAAGAGTGAGACAAACCATGTTTTGGTCTGAGATAAACATAAACCTATTTCAGTTTGGTGAGAACTACAGACAGGTAAATCTACCAAAACAAAACCAGAAACAAAACGATAGATTGAATTATCTACGAAAAATAAAGGTAAAGATACGACTTTCTTTCATTTGGTTGTTTTAAATTCCTTCAGGCGGGCCGTTTGAAGAAAAGCTGACTACATAATGGAAATAGGAGCAAAAGCAGTCGAAAACAAGCGTTACGTAACGAATAGCTGGAAGGAGTATGGGAGGATAAAATACATRAACTAAGGCAAATGATTAAGTTTTAGCCGAGAGCGGATGTTATATTCCCTAGAGGAAAAATATATATTACAAAACAGTAAAGAGAGTTAGCTTACAACGGATGAAGTCGATAATTTAAAAAAACTTTTGACCATGAAGAGTTTCAAAAAACGTTTTAATATTTAAAAATGTTTTTCTCGATAATACTAAATATCCTAAAAAAATTTTTTAAGACGAATAAATGAGAGATTTTGGCCAGATTCAGTAGCGAATTCAAGATAGAACGACTACGTTACCTACGCCGTCCTGTCATTAGCACAAAGCAGACACTCATAACGGGTTTTTGCGCAAATGATATTAAGAGGATGATTTGGTCAGAAGTAAAACGGTTAGCAAAAAATAACAATAGCATTCGAGTCCTTAAGAAAATATCTCAATAAAGTCTTGTTTTACAGGCAATCAGTAAAACTAGACCGACCGAGTGATTACGTAACTTCTAGGGTAGAAAATCTATATATAAGGCTTGGGAAGTAAGTATTTGAAAATACGTTTCGCAAAGCAACAAACTGGATAAGCCATTTTCCCGCTATTTATCTGTAGAAATTTCCCGTAGAGATCTGTAGAGGTATTTATCTTTGAGTAAATATAAGGACGTACCAAAGACCTTGAGTAACAACGGGGAATTTTAAAACTCGTCATTCACTGACTAGTGGAATTCTCGCTAAAGTTAAAGAAACAGACCCGAATAAGGAGACAGAAGAAAAAAACAAAACAATAACATGGAACAAACTGAAGTGATTTTATACAAGTGCTAATTCATCAGGGATTGCTATTGAAGGTAAAGGAACAAAAAGCAGCAAAATCTCAAGAAAAAGGCAAAAGGGTCTCTCGACTATCTAGAACAATGGACAGTCAAATGGTTAACCGCATTCTTTACATAATAATATATATCTCGACAGCAGTTTTCTGCAGGTCTTCACCGAGTGAAAGTACGAACAATCTGACGGAAAAACTAGAGAGAAAGAAAACAGGGATACGTATGATGGCATTGATTCTGTTCATCATAACGTGTGCCTTAGTGTTTATCTGTAAGAATTTTGGTAAAAGCTCACAGCCACAAGAGTTTGAAGTGATACGAAGTGTTTCGTCGGAAGAATCGTCTGAGCCATCGATAATTGTGGTCAATAGCCCTTACGATGATGGGGTAAGTAAACTGAGATAGGTCACGTGACCCTCCCCCTCCCCGTAACTCCTCGTAAAAAATCACGGCGTTGTGTCAAAATGAACATCATAAATGGAAAGAGATTTTCAGCTTATAACATGTAACACAGGAGAAATGGCAAGATTTGCTATCCAGCACATTTTCCCATAGAAATCTTTATAAAATATTCGATTCTATATAGCGCAGTGCAACCGTGACGTCATAAAAACGAAGACAAAGACGAAATTCGGACAAACAAACTTACAAGTTTACTTTCAGCAGATAATTTTCACAGCCGATCGTAGTTGATCTTAGTTTACATGGGTTATTATTGTAACTTTAAGTGAAAATAATAAAATCGGTTCGTATAATCCTCGTAGCGGTTAAACAGAATGCAATGTTTGTCCGAATCTTTAAGCTATTTTTAGAATCAATGCGCTGCGCTATTTAATGCCATTTCTCAGTTATTTCTTATGCCATTTCAAGACTAGATACTCTTTCCATTTCTGATCTTCATTTTGACACGACTTCTCTTCTTCAGGGGGTAGGGTCACGTGACTTTAAAAGCCCTTCTAGTGGTTGTTTTAATTCAGTCTTATAAGCAAAGCGCCGTAAAAGCGTTCTTCCATTTGTAGACAGCCACAAGCAATGCAGCAAAAAAACTGCTAAATCTTATACTCCTTCCAGGAAAGCTTTTAGAAGCCCGCAGTTTGATAGTCCGCCGCCCCCTGATAGTCTTCGAATCAAATAAGACTCAAATGAAGGAATAGTATTAGAAAACCCCATGGTATTTTAAAGGAAATAAGGTTATGTTATGTCTAGGCCGACTCTTAATGCAGCGTAGAACCTCTCATGTTACAAGAAGCCTTTGTGTAGTCATTTCTTATCCTCTTTGCCCTGAGGGGAAATACGCTCTTTTCTTGGAGCTAGAGGGTGGGAAACGTCTACACACACGCCGTACACCATGAGCGCTTGTAGAACATAATTGTGAAAGCTGCTTTATTCACGGTAAAAGCTGCCATAACGGTGTTTATCAAGAGAAAACGCATTTCATTTCTCATGTTCTCATATATAGTACGAGACGCGTTTGCATTTTTAAATGCAAAAAAAAAAAAAAAACAAAAAAACCCTGGCTAAACGAGAAAACATGTTTCCCTAAAAAAGTTTTTGTCAATTGCTCTCAAAGGTGGCTATATTGTCACTGGGAAACAAGTGTAACAATACTGAGAGACCTTCAGCACCACGTTCTTGCTAGGTACTGCAAACCTAAACTGCAGTTCGACGTCAGGCGTTTTCCGTCAAACGAAGTTGTTGCTCTCCTAAAAGAGCGTTTCTCCATGTTTGCGGGAGTTTTGGGCCTGATCCCTATTAATTCTGTGTGGCGCGGAAATACGAAATAGTGTTTATACTGTACTGAAGAGACATGTCTTGCCTCTAGGAAGCAAGATTTGTCGCGTGTAGCAATGTTTCGCACGAGACTAATCCGGGAGACATCAAGGAAGCACGTTTCCTCGTTTAGCCAGGAACTTAGTTCTTGTAATCCTTAGTCTGAACATTCAGGATTCTATTTTTTCCTTCTAAACACTAAAAAGGTAAAAAATGAATATGACAATAATTATGAGGTCTCGTGAATACAGCTCGTTTGAACAGAAATCGAAATTGCGTCAATGGCTTATGAATCACCTTATAGAGTGCTTTTAGTTATCTGTTTTACTGAACTGAATGAGTTTGATCAGTTTTAATGACTTTCCGTCCGTTAAGYGAGATTGATTGATAGCTTTAGTGCCGGTTTTAAAGAAAAAAGCAACGATTTGCTTTATTAATGGAAATGAAAATGGCTTGACTGTCTCGTGATCGCCGTATGGTGTATAATTTTTTTAAATTACATTTCATTTTTAATGCTATTTTGCACTTGTTTGTCGCAGAATGTTTTTTGCCAGTTTTTTGCGTACTCCCTTTATTTGCGAAGAAAACTGAGTTTTATAAGCACGTTCAAAAATATTTTGTATTAAGAGGAAATTTTTTTCAATAATCAGCAATAATGGCAAAAAGCGCCAAAAACTGGACTTTCGTATGAGTTTTGATCCCAATTTTCGTTTTGGGTTAACACTGAAAACCCTTTTTAAACAGTTAGAAACTGATGTACCATGATAAAATGCCTTTTTTAAGCAGTATTTTCAATTGTACAAAGATGTTTTGTTGCATTTGTGTTAGAATGTTGCTTTGTCAGGCCAATGAATGCCTAAACCTCATTTTCGAATAAAATTTTTGCTTTGGGTTAACACTTTGATTCCACTTTCATCGGTCATCTCCACTTCCAAACAAGTTAAACTTTCTGAATAACAAGATTTTAGCCTTGTACAACAGCCTTTCTTCAAGAAAATAGTTTTTGGCGCTCACTGCTTGAATACGAAAAGAATTCTCTCTTAAAGTAAATGAGATTTATGAGATTTCGCACTAATAAACACATTGTGAAAGGATAAAACCAAKATACATAATAGAAATATAAAGACGCGATGTTTCTACGTGTATTACAGCTTCATTAACAAGCTCCCATTATCAAATATATTGAAAATTTAAATTTAAACAAAAAAAAAACTTAAATACAATTTCATTTCAAAATTTAATATCTTGAAAATTCAAAATTCAAAAAATGGAATAAAAGAGGAAACAATGGAAAGAAAAGAAAGAAA